CACAACACGAGCCTAACGTGTCATCACGTAGTATATGTCTCGTCTGACAGGGGTGCAGTTCTTCTGACGGAGAGCACCAGAGCGTCGTACCCATAAGGAGCCGGACACATGCCGCAGTATTTGCCTGGCTGTGTCTTTAGTTGAAAGCCCAGTGGCGATCTGTTCATCTGTCATACTGATCATACAGTCAATAACTTTGTTGTTATTAGCATCTGGTTAGCTAGCTATGCTAACGAATATAAGCTTTTTCTACAACCAGTGAGGTAAAGGCACATCTTTATATGATCATTATAGTTATAAAAAAATAAGAGAATAAAGTAAACGGGTATAAAATACTATATGATAGTAAAAAAAAGTTGTTAAACAAGAATACAGTTTGAAAGGGGAGTGATTTGTAAAATATCCATAAAGAAAGATAAATCTGCTTACAGTTCTGTTTCATATGGGTATTGAGAGATGTATCCATAGATCTCTTAATTTTGCTCTCAAAGTGCACCAGATTGATGCTTTTAACTTCAACATTTAAAAAAAAAAACTGCATATGCGAGTCATGGTAAGATATACCTGGATTAAGAGGTTGCTTTTTCTTTGCACAGCATGAAAGAAAGGCAAAATGAATGGGCTGTGATTTTAGTATTTTTAAGCAGAGGTCAATAATTTGTACGGCCCTCTGAGGATGTTGAAAAAATGTAAATGGCCCTTGAGAGGAAAAAGGTTCCCCACCCCTGCTTTAGCTGCTAAATACTCTTCTAGTTCACTAGCTGTAAAATGACAATGATGAGAGAGGTGAGAGTTAATCAATACACTAAATCTGCAGGGCTTCAAAACCGATAGGCCTATTATTAGCTAAAAAAATGCTAAAACATTTCGTGAAAAAAGTCAGGGAAATGGTAGTCAGGTGATCATTTTCTGTAGGTTTTTCACTACGAGCCGCACCCGTCACATTGGGGTTAAATTATAAAAAAGGAATACACATTCAAATAATTTTTATGTTAAAAGGAGAAATACAACTAGGGTCAGGTTCTAGTTAGGAGTCGGGACGACAACCAATGTGGATGCAGTTCCTGCTGGGATTGTTCTTTATTTAACCGACTGTATGGGCAGAGTTTGACATCACATTACACAATGTTTTAAATGCTAAATGTTATTTTTCTAACATTGCTTGGTTATTACAGAAGGCTGACGTCAAAAGCTTCTGAACACTAACAGAATATGGAGTCCCTCTCAGTTTGAACCTCATGTTGCGTATTTATCTTACAAGGACTATCGACTTGGGTCCATGCGTATAAAAAATGTGCAAGCTATACGGGTATTTTCAAAAAGCTCCTACTAAAACACACAACAGTAATATGAAATCATTAGTTTATAGAATAAATAACCTTTGACATATGATACAAAATAACACTACTTTGCAAGTTTACACATCCTTAATGTAACAACACTCATCAGTGCAGCTTAAAGATGTTTAAACCATTTAAAACCAAGTGCTAAGCTGTCACAAATGTAAAAGAAACAACATAAGAGCATTTGGTCACCCACCAAAGATGACCTTTGGCTCCTGAAAAAGTGAATATTAAGATGTTTTATAGAATATATAACAAAACAATTCCATTGTCCTACACTGAAGAAACTGAAACGTTTAATTTAATTACATAATATATAATAATAATAATAATATTTCTTTCAATTAACCTTATTCAATTTGTAATTTGTTGACATACACATTGCATCAAAGTCAATCTTTTGTTCAGTGTAATGAAACCCTTCATATGTTGCTAACAGGGTGGAGGTGTAGCAGCGTCTCTCCACTAGATGGCGGTCTGGAGCCTCCGTGCAGACAGCATCAGTGCTGATGGGACGGAGACATTTTCATATGAATAGACCTGCATATTACCAACTCAATAAGTACGTTGTCATTGAGTGTCGTAATGAAATTCTGATATAAATGGTATTTTTTTCTCTTCCACCATAACTACTAACATTGGTTTTGAACATTGAAGGAGGAAGATCTTTGGCAGCGTTATGAATGCTCAGATGAACAATGACAAGTACTTGTCTTGATTATTCTTTTCATGACATTATTACTCATTTAATTTGAATGCCTCAGTCACTTCCTTTGTGTGGAGATGTCAGGAGTCGGTCTATTGCAGACAGATGGATATCAAGTCGCTCTGAAGAGACATCTGGAAGAGGTGCTTCATGAATTTATAGTGCAGTCATTTTAGCACATCTACATTTTATGTCTCACAGCAGTGTGCAGGTATTTCCACTGATCTCCTTATCCCCTGCCTGTCACCGTGAAGTCCCTAAGCAGCTGTGGCTGGGATAGGGGCTACAGCACATTGTGTAACATTGGGCTGGGCCCCCCCCACATGACTTAACATTGTTTTTCACCGGGACCTCAAAGAGCACCGCTGGCTACATCTATTACAGGCCAACTAACATTTCAGATCCTTTAGGTCTCAGTTTCAGAGGCCAAGTGCATACAAACACTATTAAAACTACTTTTAGAACTTCCAGTATTACACCAATTAGGAAGAAAGTTCATAATGTGGAGTGGGAACAACTGTTGCAGAAAACATGCTGTAAACACAATGTCATATGTTTATTTATAACAAACCTCTGAGAAAGAAAAAACAACACTTTGCACTGTACTGCAAGACTCACACGATGAATATCAATGGAGTCAAAGGAGTAGTCTTATCTGATCGTGACAGTTGCTTCTTTACCTTGAAATCAATAGTTAAAGACACAAACAAGGTTCATTAACCAGCTTTCGCTAGCTCGATAGACCCTCCAGAAAAACGCGATTCTGCGATCGCAGAATTTACCGCATAATCAGCAAAATGGAGCAGATTTTTAAAAGGCCGCATATTTATCAAAAGGCCGCATAGGCCTAATCCCCGCATTTTTCCACAAAAAGTTGAGAAAGAAAAAAGTTAACTCGTCTTGACGTGACGTCATCAGCTCGCGCATCACAGAATGTAAACAACACTGTATAGAGTGAACGTGTGGAGCTCACACGATAGAGAAAACACCAAGATGAAAAAATCTAATCCATCTCATTTACCGACGAACATTTCTACTAAAGACCGGGCAAAAAGTGGGGGGAAACTATTCTGCACCACGTGCAACTGTGTGTTGGAGCATAAGAGAAAATCGACGGTGGCGACCCACTTTGATTCATTCAAACATTCGAAAATGCTTTCTGCTGCTGCGGACAAGAAAGCCAAACAACTCACGTTCACCGAGGCATCAACCTCCAAAACGCTTTCGAGGGCTACAAGAAACGAAGTGAGTAGCCTACAAGATTGAAGCTGGTCAGATAACGAACGAGTAAATGAAAACAGAATGAGGCGGAGAAGT